ATCGGCGTGAATCACTCCTCGCAGCCTCGACGTGCCTCCCGCACTGCTGCCGACTTGGCCACCACCGGCGTTGACGCCCACGTCGACGCCGCCCTCGTTGGTCACCGGTCGAGGAGAAGCCTGTCGAGAAGGGTGCTCCGTCGCCCACATGGTGCGGAGTCCAGCCTCGACGACCGCCCAGGGTATTGCTCCGTACTCCTGGGCGTCATGGCGTCTCCTCGCGTCCTCCAGCCGTGCCTCCAGGGTGTCCACCACCCCTGTGTCACCTACAGCTCCTACCATAGTGACTATCGCACAGCTGCCGGCCTACAACCACGAAACAGGTAAGTGATGTCTACGTCGACCTGACTGAAAAGGTAAGTCGTGTGCCTTCCACGCTCACCGCACCATGCGGAGATAACTTTAGCAACGGAAGCTAAGCTACGGGCTAGGCACGGATGCTCGTGTGATCTCTGCGTTCATTCGCTTAGTCGTTCCCTTGTGTTCACGTTGCTTGCTAGTTCCCTAAGAGAATTTGCAAGAGTTTCACTAGGAAAAGGTTGACAACAATGGTACAACGAAGTTGGCAAGACTAGACTACATCAGAGCCACCATGCAAGCAAATCCACTGCCAGCGCAGCACGATCGACCGCGTGCCAGCACGACTTGGTCGACCGCACTCCAGCAGTGCAGAGTCGCGGCTTGCCAATGCTGCAAGTCGACGGCGTGCCAACGTCGCTGGTTGACGGCGTGCCGACGTTGCTTCCGCAGGACAGCAACGCACTCGCTTCGCAAGTGCTCGCAGATGATTGGCGTGCAGTGCCTCGTCACCTGCACAGCGCACACACCAAGTCAACTTCGTGCTGACGACTGCTTCTGACCAGCCACGTCGACCTCGGGATACCACCACCGAGGTCGTTCTCGCCAACATCGCCTGTGTGACCGTCGCGTGCCTTCGCTGAACTTCGTCACCCAGGAAACCTGGTCGACCGGGCAACCACGTCGACCAGCTGCTCCTGCGCGTGCCCGTTGACCACCCAAGTGGACGGCCACCCCTAGTCGACCTCACCAGGTCGACCACTACCCCTGGTCGACCAACTCCTTGTCGACCAGCACAGTTGTCAGCCGACCCCAAAGTCGGCTACCCAAAGTCGGCATCACCAAGTCGACGCCCTCCGCAGGTCGACTTCCCAGGTCGACCTCCCTGAAGTCGGCGCCATCCTGAAGTCGGCGCCCATGCAGTGGCACCCGTGCAGGTCGACTTCCTCGTTGACCAGCTCGCCCACTGCTGCAGGTCGGCTGCACCTCTACACCCGACCGCGAAGTCTGTTCCGCCCAAGCGAGGACGGGGCCAACACACAACTCTCGTTTACAGTGACGACTTCGAACGGCTTCGATGGGTCGGCGATGCGCAGAACCGGAGGGGAAACGAGAAAATTCATTAACTCCTGAAAAGTCGCCTCTGCCTCCTCCCCCCTACACAAAATTCCTGTCCTTGTGCAGCAGGTCGGTCAGCGGGCCGGTTATCCCCGCCAGACTTGGGATAAACCATCTGACGTAATTCACAAACCCCAGAAAACTATGAAGTTCCATGATGTTGGTCGGGAACTTCCACTCCTGAATGGTCCTGATTTTCGCCAGGTCGATTTTAATGTCGTCGCGTGAGATGACGTGCCCTTAAAACTCCAACTCTTGCTTAAAGAACTCACACTTAGAGCCCTTGGTGATGAGATGGTTCTCCTGCAGCCATTTAAACACTGTGTTAAGGTCGTGGAGGTAATGCTCCCTTGTCCTGCTAAAGATGAGGATATCGTCCAAATAGGCGATGACGCAGCGGTCCAAAAGATCCCTAAATACCCTGTTCATGGTGAGTTGAAAGGTGGATGGTGCATTTTTTAGGCCGAAAGGCATCACAGTGAACTCGTAGCTTCCGTAGCGTGTGCGAAACGCGGTCTTGTGACAATCGTCGGCGAAGACCCGAATCTGGTGGTAACAGCCACGCAAGTCGATTTTCGAGAAACAGCGAACACCGCGAAGTTGATCGAGAAGGTCGTCGGTGCGTGGGATTGGATAGCGAGACTTGATTGTCACCCGGTTAAGCGCGTGATAGTCGATGCACATGGGAAGCCCGCCGTCTTTTTCGGTGTAACAGAATCGGCGATGCGAAGGGAGATGCACTGGGTCTGATGAACCCTTTCTCCAACAGTGCGTCAATTTGTCTTCGCAGCTCCTCAAGTTCCGGCTGGGTCAACTGCCATTGTGTACGAACAGTCGGATGCGCGCCAGGTTCCAGCTGGATTTTGTGGTCTTCGGGTCTCTCGGGTGGCAGTCCAGGTGGCAGATCGTCGAGGAAGATGTCCGAGTACTGTCGAATCAGCTCCACTAAATCAGGTGACATCTGCGCACAGCTTCTCGATATCTTTTCCGTCGGTGTCGGCTGCCAACTCGCGCAAGCATACGGCGAACAGCTGCGCGCCTCGGTTGAAGTGGCGAGCAATAGTGATGGCTTTGACGCATGGGGCTTGGATGTAGTCAGGTGTCCATGCAGGCAAATTAATTAGCCCCTTGTGTTTGCTGATGCTGCACGATCTAGTTGTCCAATCGATATGGGGTTGTGCTTTCACAACCAATCACGTCCCAACAGTACGTCGCAGCCGTCCAGCGTCGTCGCGAGAAACTTCATGCTGAAGTCGGAACCGTCGCCGCATTCGATCTGCACCATCAGTGTTTCCTCCAAAATCGCCAGAGGCGTCCCATCCACGAGGTGAGCGTCGATTTCGGGTAGACACCTGTCAAGTTGCAGCTTGCATTTTTTTGCTGTCGCCAAGTTGAAGAGGCTATGGCTCGCCCCGCCATTGACTAACATTTTAAAATTTGAATCGGAACCACGACTCGGTGGGGATGATGGTGTTCGGGCGACAGAGCACAGTCAGTAAGGGGCACGTCTGTTACTGACTCTCCCCATTTCCCGGCTCTTTCCTGTCGTTCTTCTTCGCCGGCGTTCTCTCAGGGCAGTTTGCATATTTGTGACCCGGCTTCCCGCACTTATAACACAACCCTGTGTAGGGGCGGTCTGGTGAATGGACTCCGTTGATCGTGGCCTTGGGTCTGGCCACAAAAATGGTTTCTCTCCCGAGAACCTGCTCTCGCGTACTGCATTAGGGCATCTGTGGACTCCGCCAACCGTACTGCTTCCAGGAACAATGTCGGGCGACATCGGCGCACCTCAAATTGAATCTCGTATTTAAGGCAGTCCACGTACTTATCTAACCGCTCTGCCTCCGACATATCGTCCATTTGGCAACTGCGTCGGCAAAGGTCATAAATGACGCTGTGTAGTCTTGGACAGATGCCAACTGCGACCAGGTATGCAGCTTCATGCGAGCTTGCTCTGAGGCGGATACGTGCTCAAAGCGATCCCGTAAGGCTGCGCCTCACTCTTTCTACATGCGAATCTTGGTCACGCCGAATATCCCTGCTGCCACTTGATAAACCGATGTTGAAGTTCCGTCTGCCGCATGTGTCACCCCTGTTGGGGTCCCCGTGTCCAAGGTACATCGCCACCACTCTAGGGCAGCTCCTCGGAGAAGCAAAACCGCGTAATTAATACGCGTGGAGGCATCGTCACCGCGCACTGCGGTAAAGAAGACCTCCACGCCGAACAACCACCCTTTCACTGTAGTCGTCTTGTCCCTAGGGTTGAATGGGGGCGGGCTCGTATGCTTGATCTTAATCGTCGTAACTGCAAGTGCCGCTGGTGTCGATGTCGCCGGCCATTCGCTCTCGTCGTTGCCGCGTGCGAGCTCGCTACTTGTAACGGCGCCACTCGCTCCTTGGCTGGAGTTGTCACCTTCTTCATCGGACGAGTCCTGACGCGCTTCACCTCGCGTCCAGCGTAGCTCGGTGTTTTCTTCATGTAGTGTCGTGGCTTCCATTGACAACATATTCACTGTTGCCTGTAGCTCTTGCATTTGCGCCAGCATCGGGTTAAACTTCTCCTGATCCATTGGTCGCACGTTTCGTCTTGAAGGCAGAGGGGTGTCCGTGGCCTTCAGGCAAGAAGAAAGCAAAAACTATCGGACCTTGCAGCCAACCGTTTTGCAGTCTCTTATACCAGCCACACCCGTGCCACCAAACTACCCTCGAAAAGCGGGGTGAACTAGGAAAGTAGCTCTGATACCATGTGTTATGAGTTGTAAAGGAGAGTGCTCAGAATAACGAATAACGAGGCTGTGACTCAATGAAACCGACAATACAATGAAGGCACGCGACTATATAGTGACTACCCTAGCTAGGAGGGAACCTCGGGAAAACGAGGTTGGGTGCAGGTTTGGCGATCGGAAAGCCGAAGGTGACGCGGGGAGCGTCGGCATCGGAAATGTAGGCCGAACGTGCAAAGTCCAAAATGTCGGGGTTGTACGCGTAGCAGTCAACCCCGGTAAGGAATAGCGAAATCCTTAGGGCGCGTGTGATCCAAGGATTTTTGTCAAAGTTCGAACTCAAACCGCTTTGCATCGTGGAGAGACATCGCTCAATTGTATCCTACCGTGTAGAACCTTTCTAAAAGTTCGAACTTTGGGAAGTTCGAACTTTGATCACACGCGCCCTTACGGCCTCCGTCCGGACTATGGAAAGTAATAAGTTAGCCGAAATGAAGTGGGGTGGTTCGGGCGCCAGGGGAACTTTCTCTGCCGCTGCCATGCCGATGCCCCCTGCCTGATGAACAGCGCCAAACTCAACCCAATCCCCAACCTTCTGTTGAGAAACTTCTCGACATGGGCTAGAACAGCAAGTGGTCGATTAGGTATTTAGAAATGTGTTACAGCCAGTTCTCACCTACGTGCGCCCTCCCGCCTACCCGTGCAACCGCAGCACCCCACCTTCGTGCGCTCAGCGCCCCGCCTGCACAACGCTACTCAACTAGCACGACGCCTCTGTGTCACTCGCCACTTGCGCGTTCCTCACCCTGCTGCGGGATCCCATCCGCCATGTTTCTCCGCCTCTCCCCCGCCATACCGCGGATGCCCCTCTGCATTCCCCAACCCCCTGCGCCGCTGCTGTCCGTGCGCGCGCCGCTCGCGTATGGGCCTCGCGCCGCAGCGGAGGAGAGGGCAGGCGGGGAAACCGCGAAAAGGGAGGCGGACGCGGAGAATGCGAGCGCTGGCGGCGGCGGCATCGACCTGAAGCGATGGATGGAGCAGCGCGTGCGCGCCACGGGCATCGAGCCCTTCCCGTCCCTGCACGGCGTCTTCCCCCCGCCCTCGCGCGCGCATTCCCCCGACTCCCCCCCCGAGTACCACGATTCGGGATGGATCAGAGCGCCGCCCCGCAGCAGAGAGGGCAGGGAGGGGAAGGAGGGGATAGATGTTTATGATGGCAAGGGGACAAAGGGAGGCAGGGAGGTGAGGCAGGCAAAGGGCGCAAAGGAGGCGAGGGAGGCGAGGGAGGCGAGGGAGGCGAGGGAGGCCCCCGCGAGGCCGCAGGTGGCGAAGAGGGCGGGGCGCGGGGCGAGCAGCAAGTTCGCGCGGCTGTCGCACGCGGAGTGGGAGGCGCAGGCCATGGCCATGGTGCAGCAGAAGAAGCGCCTCCTGCTCGCCGCGCGCTCACGGGACGAGCGCGCGCGGGACGAGCGGGGGGTTGCGGGAAAGGAGCGGGAGAAGAAGGACAGGGAGAGACGCGAGGGCGCTGCAGGCGGCGGGAAGGAGGCGGGCGGGGGGTTGGCTGGGAGGGCGAGTGTCGCGGGCGGAGCGCGCGAGAGGGAGGGTGGGGGGGGGCACGTGCAGCTGCTGCCGCCTCCGCGGTTGTCAGCGCGCCCTGCGGGGGAAGATGGGGGGGAGAGCGCGCTGGAGGGCGGGCGGAGCGAGAGCACCGCAGCAGGGGGAGCATCGGCCGCCCATGCGCCCCGCGTATCAACCCCTCCCGCCCCTCCCACCCCTCCCACCCCGCACCGCCTTGCTCCCATTGCCTCTGCGGCTCCCCTGCCCGCCGCACGTGTAATGCCTGCTGCTGAAGGCAGCAGAGCGGAAAGGGCGGAGGGGGGGAGCCTACTATGGGGAGGTGCAGGATTGGCCAGAGGGGAAGGGACAGGGGAAGGGATGGTGGGCGAGGGGGGGGAGAGGGATGAGGGGGAAGGCGAGCATCGGCTGCGGGAGTGGCAGGGAAGTAGCAGTGCGAAGGGCGGTGAGGAGGGCGTTGCAAGCAGGAGTGCGGTGATGAGTGACGTCAGCAGCAGTGGTGACTCGAGTGATGGCAGCAGCACGGGCAGCAACGAGGGCGAGGGGTGGCATGCGTCCGCCTTGATGCAGCTGGGCGGGCTGCCGGGCGTGGTGAGTGGGGAGGGGGGGCTAGTGTGGGGGGGGGGGGCGAGTGTGGAGGGGGGCCGAGTGTGGGGGGGGGGGGACGAGTGTGGGGGGGGGGGAGTGTGGAGGGGGGATGAGTGTGGAGGGGGGATGAGTGTGGAGGGGGGATGAGTGTGGAGGGGGGATGAGTGTGGAGGGGGGATGAGTGTGGAGGGGGGATGAATGTGGAGGGGGGGTCGAGAGCATGGTTGCTTGCCAGGGTTCGATGCTACACAGGGTGTGTGTGTGTGCATTGGGGCTTGCATGCATGTGTATGTGGGGGGGTGACGGGTGTAAGTGAATGTGTGTGTGGGGGGGGGGGGGGGGGGGGGTGGGGTGGGGGGGGTGTGTGTGTGTGTGTGTGTGTGTGTGTGTGTGTGAGTCTGTATGTGTGTGTCTGTATGTGTGTGTGTGTGTGTCTGTATGTGTGTGTGTGTGTGTCTGTATGTGTGTGTGTCTGTATAAGTATGTGTGTCTGTATGTGTGTGTGTGTGTCTGTATGTGTGTGTGTGTGTGTCTGTATGAGTGTGTGTGTGTGTGTGTGTGTGTATGTGTGTGTGTGTGTATGTGTGTGTGTGTGTGTGTATGTGTATGTGTGTGTGAGTCTTTCACTCCCAATTGCACTTCCACTGCCTCCTTCCTTCCCTGTCCCCCTCCCCCCCCACTACCCCCCACAGCCCATCCACTCCATGGACCCGCCATCCAGGAGGGAGGCGGTGAGGAGGGCGAGGCAGGCGGCGCTGGTGGCGTGTCTGCTGGAGGAGGGCTTCCGCCTGCCTGACCTTCTCCGCTTTGCCTCCACCCGCTGCGCCTTGCTCACTGTGAGTCCACCCTTGCTCACTGTGAGTCCACCCTTGCTCACCATGAGCCCACCAGGCGGGCCTTGCTCACAGTGACTCCACCAGGCTTACTGGTACTTGCAAGGGGCTTTGGCTGGAAAACGACGAGAATGGCACTCGTTTCTCACCTTTCCTGGCAGGCACTCACAGCGGAAGGGTGGGAGTATCGCACGTCGCGCCCATCTTCTCGTCACGTCCTCGTCCGCCCCTCTCTACTCTCCACCCTCTCTCTCTCAACCCCTCCCCTCCCCCCCCCTCCGCAGACGTCCCCCACGCTGGCAAGGGAGCGCATGGCGTATCTGCGTGCCATCGGGCTGCCGGCTTCCGATGTGCCGCGCCTCGTCGCCCGCTGCCCCAAGCTGCTCACCTACCGCGTCGACACGCGCATGGCGCCACGTATCGACTTCCTACTGGCGCTGGGCGTGCCCCCTGACCGCGTGGCGCGGGTGGTGCAGCTCGCCCCCGCCATCTTCGAGTGCAGTGTCCACCGCGCCCTCCGCCCGCGCATCCGCTTCCTCCAGGTGCCCTCCCACTTTCACTTTCACCCTCCGCCCCTCGTCGCTCGCCTCTTGCCCCCGCCTTGCCCTGTGCGTCGCATCGCATCGCCATGCCTTGATGTGCCCAGGCGTCACTCTCGCTGCATGACGCTGCCCTCCTTGTTGGGCGCCTGTGTGCATGGGCGTCACTCGGCCGTACAAAGGGCGGCACAACTTCCAAGCGGTTGAGGGTGTGAACAGCGCAGGAAAGGCAAGACTCTTTCTCATGTGGATGAGCTCACGGAGACCACTGTTGGTCAGCGCTGCAGGAACGTTGTGGTGTGGCATGACGTTTTAACAATGGTTAAGTGGTCGTACACTCCAGAGGAAGGTGAGCCAACACTCTCATATGTGAGAGATGAGGTATTGCTGAAAAATGACTCTGCATATGTGTTGGGCAAGGAAAGGAGGGGGGAAAGAAAGTCTGATCAGGAGGTTGGCTACGATTGTTTGTCTCCACCGATAAGTTGGGTGGGATGACTTCAGTGCGGAACAATAATATGGTTAGCGAGAGCAAGGGTATTGGGGTGCCAATCATCTCTTGACCCAATCATCTCTTGACCCAATCATCTCTTGACCCAATCATCTCTTGACCCAATCATCTCTTGACCCAACATCGGGAGCCAGAGCAAGTTTGGAACTATAAACCCCAAGATAGGGTAAGCCCCTGCTGTACAGTTACATTGTAAGTTTGGGTTTCCTTTGCTAACCAACAGTGCTGGATACAGGTTAGTGCGAAAAGTCGAAATGGTGGTGTTGATTCATCTGTTCCTCTCTCCACCCGTCCTGTTCCTCTCTCCACCCGTCCTGTTCCTCTCTCCACCCGTCCTGTTCCTCTCTCCACCCGTCATGTTCCTCTCTCCACCCGTCCTGGCCCGCCAGAATGCGCTGCAGCTGAGTGACGAGGACGTGGTGAAGGTGGTGGTGCGCAGCCCGCAGGTGCTCACTCAGAGCGTGCAGGGCGGCCTCGTGCCGCGCCTGCACTACTTCCTGCACCACCTCGCACTGCCCCTGCCCTCCCTCGCCTCCATGGTCGTGCGGTCAGTGCCATCCCCTCTATCAGGCATTGACAACTAGCTTTACAGGTGTTGACATCAGTCGCTGCCACTTCTTCAAACCTTGGCACTTACCCCTGTTCCATTCGCCTCCATGCTCGTGTGGTCAGTGCGATGCTACTAGGCATGCCACCTCCACACTCTTCTTATCGTGCATCTCACCATGCATCTCACCATGATGTCACATCCATTGCACCACACGTCACCATGCTCGTCATGTCCTCCTTCCCTCCCCCTCAACCCCTTCCACGCCACCAGCCATCCACAGCTGCTGCACTATTCATTGGAGGACGCGGTGCGCCCGCGGGTGGCGTTCCTCAGAGCCATCGGCCTCTCCAGCCGGGATGTCGCACACGTGCTCTTCCGCCTGCCCCAGGTGTGCTCTTCCGCCTGCCCCAGGTGTGCTCTTCCGCCTGCCCCGGTGTGCTCTTCCGCCTGCCCCAGGTGTGCTCTTCCGCCTGCCCCAGGTGTGCTTTTCCCCCTGCCCACTCGGTGGTGTGTTCAACAGCGTTTCGTGCCGACCCCCATCTGCTTTCCACCCTCTTCTAACACCTCGTTTCCCCATTTTCTCGCCTGTGCCTGTTCCTCCCTTCTGCTGTCTCGGTTCCCCATGTCTCCTTCCCCTCCCTCCCCCTCCCCCCCCTTGACCACACCTTTGCCCCCTCCATCAGATCCTCTCCCTCTCAGTGCCCAACTGCCTGGCTCCCAAGTACGACTACCTCATTCACCATCTGGGCGGCTCGCCCAGCTCCATAGTCTCCTTCCCCGCCTACTTCTCCCTCTCCCTGCACGCCCGCATCCGCCCGCGCCACCTCTTCTACCTGCGCTGCCGAGCCGCCTCCGCACCCACTGCTGCCCCTCCTCAGCTGCTGTCTCCTCTTTCCCCGCCACCTGCTCACGACCCTCCCGCCTCACCCCGTGCTGCTACCTCCTCATCTACTGCCAGTCCCACCTCCCTTTCCGTGCTGCCACTGCCGACAGACACGTCTCTCGTGCCACCTCCGCCGGCCCCCCTCCCGCCCCAACCCGCCCACCCCTTCGCCTTCCTCTCATCCGCCCGGCCTTTCTCAGGGCCCTCCTCTCCGCCTCCCCCACCTCACGCGCCGCTGCCCTCCACAGCCTTTCCGCTGAGCCTGCTGGCCCCCACGGACGAGGCCTTCTGCAAGCGCCTGGGGCTGCCCAACGACCTCGAGTACCAGGCCTTCAAACACACCCTCGCCTCCTCTGCTGCCACGCCACCCCAGGCGCCTAAGGTTCCACGCATGCATGCTTCTGCTGCTCCGCCATCTGCAGCAGCACAACCAGCAGCAGGGATGTCAAGGAGAGAGAAAGGAGGGGCAGTCACACATTTGACATCACCTGCCGGAGAAGGCACGGGAAAATCATCAGTACAAGAGAATTGACGCAGCCACGGCTTGAGGGAAAGGAGGGAAGTCTTTGAAACACCCGGATGACAATAACACCCGGATTACAATATATCACGTTTCCTAATTGTGGGGAAGACTGTAAGACTGTAAGAGAGCTTGGTTGGGTTGGAGGTGAATGGAGTGAGGAGGACGTGTTATGGTTACGACGAATTAATTCAATAGCACCGTCCCCCCACTTCCCCATCTGGCGCTAGGTCTTATGGACATGACTTCTTAGCTGCACCCCACCATCCCCGTCCCCCACCTCCCCCCCAACCCCCAACCCCCCCCCCCCCCCCCCCCCCCCCCCCCCCTCCCCCACCAACCACCGCACTCCCAACTGAAGATGCCCCACTAACAGAATATGAGAGGCCGTACCTGTCAAAATGAGGAATGAATGATGCATTGATGTTGGTTGGGGTACATATAGCTAACCCTAACTTTTGTACCCCCTAAGACAATCCTCACTATAGGCTACCACATTTGACACACCCCCATAGCCTAAGTGAGGGGTGTCTAGCAGAACCAAAAGAGTACGGTCACAAGACCAGTCCAAGAAACAAAGCTCAGGGTGGATCACAACGTCACCACACACTCTGAGCACAAACACAAGTGGCCAAAAGGCCAGTCCAAGATGTAACAGAGATATATAGAAAGCGTACAAGCAAAGTAAACAGTGCACTCAAGTCTAAGCAAGACGAGAACCAGTGTCAACAAGGCCTAACTGCACACAGCACCTCTGGTGGTCACAAGGCGGAAGCGCCTTGGTGAAGATGTCTGCAGTGTTGGCCTCGGACTCCACAAACTCGAAGCGAGCCTGTCCACGTCTCTGCAACTCTCGCAGAAGAAAGTACCTGACGTGAATGTGCTTCACTCTGCTCTCCAGTCGCGGCTCTCGACAAAGGAGAATCGACGCCTTGTTGTCAGTGAACAAGGTCGGTGCAGAGCTCGGCCGCTCACCAAGGTCGGCGAGCAAGAACGTCAACCAACGCAGCTCCTGTGCCGCCATGGCACCAGCGTAGATCTCAGCCTCAACCGTAGAGGTCGAGACCGAAGAGGAGCGCGTGGACCGCCAGGAAAGAGCTCCAAAACCCAGGCTGAAACAGTACCCCTGAGTAGACCTGTGAGTCTCAGCGTCGTCAGCGTAAGAAGAGTCACAGTGACCAGTAAGTACGACAGACTGCTGCCCTCCAAGAACTAGCCCCACGCCTGATGTCGTCGCTAGGTACTTCGCCACCCTCACAGCTGCTGTCCAGTGAACAGGACGGTGTCTCCCTGGCGCAACAAAGCGCGCAAGGATGCTGAGAGGGAAAGCGAGGTCCGGGCGAGTACAAGTCATCAGGTACATGAGGCAACCCACAAGCTCTGCGTAGGGACCACTAGGCTCAAACGGCTCGTCAGGAAAGGGTCCAGTGAGTCTGTGGTCAACAGCAAGAGGTGTGCGCTGTACTGTGGAGTGCTGAAGCCCGAACCGCTAAAGGACCTGCTGCACCATGTGTGACTGTGAAAGTGTAATGGTGCGAGCAGCTCTGTCCCTGGTGATCTGCAGGCCAAGGTAGTGGCGCAGCTCACCAAGGTCAGTGCAGGTGTGTCTCTTCTGCAATTCGGACTTCACGTCTGCCAAAGCAACCCTGTCAGCAGTGGCGAAAACGAGGTCGTCGACGTAGACCAGAACAAAGAACGGTGTGGAGCCACGACGAATGAACAGCGACGGGTCGGCAGAAGACGGCTGGAACCCAAGGTCAGAGAGGGTAGAACGCAGAGTGTCGTGCCACTCACGAGGGGCCTGGCGAAGACCGTAGACAGGTCGCCTCAGCCTCCACTGGGTCCCAGGAGGGAAGGTGCCAGTGAAGGCAGAGGGACGACGCAGCCAGACCTCCTCGTGTAGGCTGCCCTGAAGGAAAGCAGTGGAGAAGTCGAGAGAGTGTAACTCGTAGTCTCTCTGTGCTGCTACGTGTAGTAACATCCGAAGAGTGGTCATCTTCGGGGTAGGCGCGAAGGTCTGAAAGAAGTCAACTCCCTCGCGCTGACTTTAACCTCTAGCCACGTAGCGCGCCTTGAAGACCGGGGGAGATCCCGGTGGCCGCTTCACCCTGTAGATCCACATGCCGTCGACTACGTTCGCCCCAAGGGGGGGAACCTCATCGACGTAGGTGCCTGTGGATCTGTAGGAGGCCATCTCTGCGTCCATGGCAGCTCTCCACTGAGAGGCCCAAGGCCCTGACACTGCCTCAGCGTAAGTGCGAGGAGTCGGAATGTCAAGGGCGTCGGGGTCACCCTCAGGGGCGAGGAGCATGGCACAGAGATGAGGGGAAGCGGCTGCCAGGAACTCTAGCTCAAACTGCCTGTCCTCTAGGGCGTCACAGCCAAGGGCAGACACACCCCCGACGGCCAGAGGACTGGAAGGAGGAGCAGCCACAAGACCGGTGGCGAAGTCAAGGCGGCGGGTAGAGGCAAAGTCAGTGACTGCGGCAGTAAGAGCGGACACAGAGGACACAGAGGCACGAGGGTGGGTAACAAGAGAGGCGAGAACACGAGAGAGAACAGGACGGTACGTGCGGTAGTAGTCAGTGACAGGAGTAGGGAGCGACGCAGTGAGGGCCGACTCAGGAGGAGACGGAAGCACAGACGGAGACGGACGAGGTGGACTAGAACGAAGTAAGGCAGTACGAAGGTCAGTGAAGGGAACAGGAGACGAGGGACGAGCACGAGGGGAGCGACGAGAGGCCCAAGTCTGAGAAGGAGGAGGGGACAACGAAGACTGAGAACGAGGGAAAATAGCGCGAGAGGGGTCAGGAGGAGGAAGCGGAGGACCAGAGACGGGAGGAGAGGGGGAGGAGGAAGGAGAGCGAGAGGGGAGACCAAGGGTCCGAAGACCCGAGACAGGAGGAGGAGGCGGCTGCTGCGGCTGCGGCTGCTGCTGCTGCTGCTCCTGCTGCTGCTGCTGTTGCTCCTGCTGCTGCTGTCGCTCCTGCTCCTCGAGCCGCTGCAACTCTCGCTCCTCTCTCTCCAACTCCAGCTGCTCCTCACGAGCACGGCGAACACGAGCCTGGAACCTGGTCGGGTAGGGGTGGGGGGTAGTAGTAGTGGTCGGGGCAGCGGCAGCCCCAGAGTCCACCTCCGAAGCACCAGGCACACCACCCCCAGAGTCAGCACCAACACCAGCTCCAGACCCAGGCGCACCAAAAACCGAAGGGACACCCTCACCCCCAGACGCAGCACCCCCAGACTCCGCACGACCAGCACCAGCTCCCGGAAGACAAGAGTCCTCTGCAACCCGCGGCTCAGCTCCAACTCCAGCACCCCCAGAACCAGAAACCGGTACAGGAACCGGCTCAGTACCAACCTCTCGAGAGGGAGCACCTGAAAGACGCGGCGAGGAAGACTGTGGGGAGGGAGGCTGTACAGGGGGGGCTACCGAAGGGGGAGGGCTAGCCTGAGACACACCAGACGGGGCTGGACCAGGGGGGGGAGGCTGTACCGGGGGAGCAGGAGGGGGAGCGGCAGTCAGGAAGAGAGGGGGAGGAGGAACCGGGAGACCTCGACTGGGGTACCTGACGTAGTAGGGGGTGGACTCCTCGAAACAAACGTCACGGGAGTCAAAGAACCGGTGAGAGGGAGGGTGGTAAAAGGTGAAGTCAGAGGAGTCCTCAGGGAAACCAAGGAAGACACAAGGAACGGCGCGAGGCGAGAGCTTGTTTGCGGAGGTGTCGCGGACAAGAGCCAAGCACCCCCAGACTCAAAACCTCGACGCAACACCAGGGGACCCGGTCCAAAGACTGGTCGGTGAAGCCTCTGGCCGAGAGACGCGTGGCCAGAGGTTCAGCTGGTGCGCGGCGTACCTGACCGCGTAGGGCCACAGGAAATGGGGGGCACGGGCGTGAGTCAGGGAGGTGCGGGCGATCTCCATGACCAGGCCTATGCGGCGCTCAGCAACCCCATTCTGCTGTGGGGACTCTGGAAGCGTCCAGGACTGACGAATGCCCTGCTCGCGACAGAATCCAGCGAGAATGCCGGAGCGAAACTCACCCCCGCGGTCGGAGTGGAGACAGCTGACACGACGACCACGAGTGTCCTGCGTGGTAAGCAACCACCTGATCAGCGTAGAAGTCACCTCAGACTTCTTCGCCAGGGGGAACACTGTGGTGTAGCGGGAGTAGTCGTCAACGACCACCAGAAAGAAACGCTCACGCTCAGGGCCAAGGCGAGAGGCGGGGCCCCAGACGTCCAAGTGAAGCGTCTCAAAAGGCTCGGTGGCCGGACGAAGGGAGGAGGAGTGAGGGGTGGCGCGCAGCCTACCCTCGACGCAAGGACCGCACGGTGGTGCAAGGGACGGCGGCAGCGACGGCAAGACACGCGGGAGACCTAAGACAAGACGCTGACAAGACATAGCGCGCAGACGGGGAAGAGAAGGGTGCCCCATCCGGTGGTGCCACAGAACGGTGGGGTGGGCAAGCGACCGGCAGGAGCACGACGCAGCGACTGGACCAGACGTAGGAACCTGACAAGACACAGCTACCTGGGGGGACGGAGCAACCTGGTGAGACGCGGGGACTCGAACAGGGGGCGGAACAGGGGCCGGTGGCAGTAGGGGCGGCTGCCGCTGCGGCTGCTGCTGCGGCTGCCGCTGCTGCTGATGCGGCTGCGGCTGCTGTGGCGGCTGCTGCGGCTGCTGCTGCTGCTGGGGCTGCTGCGGCTGCTGCTGCTGCGGCTGCTGCTGCGCACGCGGGCCAGTGTGAAGAGTGTAGAGACCTGAGCCCGGCTCAGCAGCCAAGGTAGCCAGAGGCTGGTAAGAGTCCCCGTCAACACACACCGCAGTCTCTCCAGAAGGCTCAAACCACACACCCACGTGCTGACTCACGAGGGGTCGCACGCCAACCAAGTTCCGGGAGAACGAGGGGACGTGAAACCCAGTGAGAGACCCGGAGGGAGCAGCAGGACACGGCAAAGTGGTAGTGTGACGCGCAGTGACTGGTCCCGAAGTGGGATCAGCCAGCGCCACAGAAACAGGCGCAGGAAGTGGTGTAAGTGTCGTGCTGTCACGAAAGAAGCAGTGTGAGGCTCCAGAGTCCAGCGTGAACGACAGCGAAGCGTCCTCCGAGGTAGCCGCTGGACTAGAGTCTACACAAGAACCTACACTAGCAACAGGCAACTGAGCAAGGCTAGCACCTAAGCTAACAACACCAGAGTAAACAGAGTCAGAAACACTAGAGTCAACAACAGCATACATAGCATGAGAAGTACCAATCAGATCTGCTAACTGCTCAGCAGACATGCCCCACAGAGCGGAGCCGTAACGCTGAACAAGAGGAAGTCAGTCAGGGACAGGACCGCCAACCATGTAGACCAAACGAACCGTGTCAGTGAGCTGAGCAAAGCACTGACCAGGGGGGTGAAGGCGGCCACAAGGGTGGCCCCGGCGAGCACCTGTCAGAACCTGATAGGCGCAGGGAGGGTAAGCAGCACCGCGCTGGGTCTGACGCAGCCCCGACCCTGGAGCCAGCTGCGGCCGCTGCTGCTGCTGAGGCTGCTGGGAGGAGAGGGGCTGCTGCTGCTGCTGAAGCTGCTGCTGACGCTGAGCCTGGTACCACGCCGCTGCTCCACCTACCGGGGCCAGCAGTACAGGAGGCGACTGACGAACTCGGGCGTCGCCACCACTAGCAGGCGCAGTGGAGTCACCAGTCGCTGCACGAGACGCCTCTCCAGGCCCTGCACTCCCACCACCGCCAGTCGCAACGCCACCTCCACTACCTCCGCCTCCACCACCACCACCACCACCAGAACCGCCTTTCTTGCCACCCCTACCGCGGGACCGCAACGTAGTCGTAACAGCAGCTGTAGTTGCGTCAGTAGCGGCAGTGGCGAGAGAGGCAGTAAAGGTGGGTAACTGCGGGACTGTGCACCCGTGGAAGAGTGGGGGGGGCACAGCACCAGAGGCAGCGGCTACCGAGCGAAGGTTGCTCTCGACGTCCTTGAGCGCAGACTCAAGGACCTCGACGGTGAGCTCACTAGGGTGCTTCAGCAGAAGCGCGTCACGAACGGAGGCAAGGCGGTCAGGGAGGCTAGTGGCGATGAAATAGATAGTAATCGCCACGTGGGGAGGAAGCAGTGCAAGCTGTGCCTCAGTGCAAGCAGCGCGGTAACTAGCGTCGAGCGAGCGGAGGTGAGCGATCAAGTCAGCAGAGCGCTCAAAAGAGGCGAGATCAGGAAACAGGAACGGGAGGAAAAGGCGGCCAAGAGAGACAGTAGCGGGAGTAGAGTAGCGGGCCTTAATCGCAGTGAGGTACTCAGCAGCGGTGCGAACCTGAGTGAAGTGGACCTCCTCAGACTCAGGGAGGAGGCTGCTGAGCGCGATGCAGGCCGCAGCGTCACGCGACGTCCAAGCCGTCTGATCAGCTCGCTGGGTGGCAAAGTGGGCTCTAGCGGCGTCGTCAGGGGCAGGGCCTAAAGGCGTAGGGTCGGGGGGCGCAGGGAGGGCACCAGTAGCGTGCGCCCAGAGGGTCTCGCCTGCCTGGACCTGACTCTCTAACAGACGGCGAGCGCGAAGGAGCCAGACGGAAAAGTCAAGAGGTCTACCGTCAGCGTCGAAACGAAGAACTCGCTGAGTTGCCATAGCGAGAACGAACGCGAAAGGGGAGCCAGGGGACAGCAGTAGGTGAGAGGCAAATTAGGGTTCAACAGTACTCTGGGACAGGGGAGGAGCGGACGCCACAGCGGGCGTGACAGCGGGAGCTAACAGCAGACGAAGCAGCGGGCAGCGGGAGCGGGCGCAGCGGCGGGCGACGGCAGCGCGCTCGGCAGCAGGGGCCAGCAGCGCGCGCAGCGGGCGACGACAGGGGGGCGCAGCGGCGACGCGCGTAGTGGCGGGCGACGGCGGCGGGCGCCGCGGCGAGGCGCACGGGGGCGGGCGACGGCGGCAGGCGCGGCGGCGACGAGCGCGGCCGCGGGCGACAGCGGCGGGCGCTGCGGGGACGGGCGACGCGACGAGGGGAGAGGGCGGGCGCGACACGACGAGGGGAAAGGGCGCGACGCGACGGGGGGAAAGGGCGCGACGCGACGGGGGGAAAGGGCGCGACGCGACGGGGGGAAAGGGCGCGACGCGACGGGGGGAAAGGGCGGGCGCGACGCGATGGGGGGAAGGCGACGCGACCAGGGGAAAAGGGGGGGGGGGGGGGGTACGAACGAGAGCTAGGCTCGGCGCTAGGCTCGGGAATAACGGGACCGTTACGAATGAGAGCTAGGATCAGGCTCAGGAGGTACGAACGGAGAACGGAGGAACGGGATCCCACAGGATCCTAACCTAACTGATACCATGTCAAAATGAGGAATGAATGATGCATTGATGTTGGTTGAGGTACATATAGCTAACCCTAACTTTTGTACCCCCTAAGACAAACCTCACTATAGGCTACCACATTTGACAGAACCGTACATGCAAGATGCAACAATGCAACAGGTTTATCATGGTACATGTGGCCCAATCTTGTGCTACGCGTGATTACGCCGCACGAAGCGCCAAAAGCTCTCCACCTTCTTTGCGCTGTCTGAATGTCACCACAAACAATTCAAGGGAGTTAGTGGGTAGTTGGTAATGAAACAAACAGCTTAAGTTAAGGGAGTAATCGGGCAGATTTGTGAGAGGCAGGGTCTTTACAAGCAGCTTAACGATAGCTTACCCAAAGTGAGGCGCTGGCCCATCTCAGTCTTCACAAGGACAACCAGGCCCCACCTGTCGCGGTACGTCTGACTCCACCGCGCTGATGCCTTCCACACAACATTGGGGTGGTACTTCTTCATGTAGGACTTACTCCACTTCTGCATCATTCCCACAGTCATGGCGAGCCCTTGAGAGCGGTGATGCAATATGCGCCGATACACGGCGCGCTCCATGTCGGCGGGGAGGGCCGCCCTTCCCACACCGTGGAGTCACTTGCGACTTGGCGCAGCGTCGGAGTACTTGTGTGGAAGGCTGCACCTCGGCCTCCCTTGCGGTTACTCGAACGCTTTTCAACTCCAGCAGATGATCCAGCCACTTCACGGAGATGGCGTGGCGTTTGCGCTCCCCTTTGTGAATTCGCCGGGGAGGGCGGACGGGTGCCTTTTGACATTTTTCTTCCTCCTTCGGCCTCCCTCTTTCCGGGAACTTCGGCACAATGAGGTCAGGCATCTCGTTGTCAGTGTCGTATTCGTCGTCCTCCGCGGCGGCTTCAGCGGCAACATCAGTGGCATCCTGCTCCGCACGACTTTGGCCCTCGCCAGTGTCTGGATCTGGCGCCTCGTCGTCGTCCCGATGCCACTCGTATACATCGTCAGGGTCGGCGCGAAGCCCCGCGTTCCACCAGTCGTCCTCTTCCTCCTCATCATCATGCTGCTCACCGGGATTGACGCCATCTTCCGGCCATTCCTCCACGTCACCTTCGTTGTGCTCAAACGGATCCGGGCCCGCATAGGTACCGGCCTCCTCGTTTGATGGTCCAGCGGCGGCGGGTACTCTTGCTGCTGGCACAGCTACTCGAGGTGGTGATGGGTGGCGGTTGTAGGGGACGATGTGGACAGCGGCAGAAGCGTAGACACCAGAAGCAGCACGACCTTGCTGCCTTCTACGTAGCATCCATGGCGGCTTGTCAAGTGAGGGGTCCAGTCGAGACATAAATGAGAACTACTAGAGAGCGCATGCTAAGAACACCAACACAGAGAACGTGATTGAACAGTATGAAATGTTGACGGGACTACCCCCCTCCCGAACCTCAGTCTGGACGAGGCGCGTTTGTCCTTGTCGAGGTTGAGGTGGAGGGAATATCCCAACCGAACCTCAACATCTTGTGTTGGCATGATCGTTGTAGATGTGACCAATCAGCATAGTCGCCCTTGACAGCACACGCCAGCAATGCGACGAGCTGGGTTGTTCGTGGCCTGTGTGAATGGCAACACACAGATTCGTGCACCTGTCCAGCTCGCAAAGGCATCTGCCGCGTATTATAGTCCAGACCCATGTTCACATTTAAACGGACTCGTTACAAACAACCAGTATACTAAAAAAAGGAATATAGGTTACAACATGGGTCTTATAAAAAACTGAAAGCGGTTAAGACGGCATACGAACCTCAGGTCCACTATCCGGCCGAATACGGTACATTGGGAAAGGGTGTGGAAAAAAGTACACTGACACAGTGTACCTAGTAAAACACCCTAATTTTGATAGTGTCACTTTCTGTTAAGTATGAAGAGCGGATGACACACCCCCATAGCCTAAGTGAGGGATAGCAAGAACAAAAAATGGTCACAAGTCCAGTCAAGAGAAGAAACAAAGAAATGCTCAGAGTGGATCTCAAGATCCCCACACAGTCCGATCAGTGGCCATAAGGCCAGTTCACATACGGTGTTATAATAGCACAAACAATACTGTGATCACAATCTAGCAAGAGTAGACATGCAAGTATAGATATATATATACCAAAGCACAAGGCACAGTCAAGAGGTAAGCAAGCAGGGCTCAAAATTGGTTTTTGGCCACCCTATCAAATCAGGGTGCCAGCCAACGTGTGAGAGTACGACGGCTTATGCTGGCTTTGCTAGCTTGCCTGGACTTTATTATGTTATTACTAGCTTAGAATTATTTTATCTTGCATGCTTTTGCTTGATTTCCTAGATTCGTTGCCTTTACTATAGTTATTATAGTTGTAGGCACCGAACTAGGTTGAGTGCACCGAATTCTAGGCTTTTCGGTTGCCACCGAATTGCCTTCTACCGAATTCGGGAAGGACCCGTTCGGGACGCTTCGCGACCCGCGGAACCTTCTAGTAACACCCGGGTTACTGCCTTTGTGTCGAGCCTATATATAGCCTCGCCTTGTACCCAGGTGAATCATTCAATAGAATCATCTTTCCTGAACCAGATCCTCACACTTGGTATCAGAGCGGGTTTACACGCGAGGTCTTCAACCGCGTAGTTCCGGCCTTGAAAAACTGCGGGGGCGACGACGAAGGCGCCGATACGGGTATGTAAAACCAGTTCCGCGCAATTTTTCTAAGTTTCCCTTGATTCGGTTTTCGAACACCCCTCAGATTTACTGGTGGAAAGGTTGGAGTTTCGACCGTTCGATCGAGTTTCATCTCAACGGCCCAGAGAATTTCGCCCCAAAAAGTTGGAATTTGGAGCGTCGGATCGAGTTTCTTTTCAACGGCCGAGATTGAACGTGAATTTCGACTAAGGAAGATTTACGCGACTTACAGAATTTGTGCTCGTCGATTCTACAGTCAACTCGACTCGCAGTAAGTCGACCAGCACCCAAAATTCAATTATTTTCGTCGCGCTTCTTTCTGTAAATCGCCAAATGGAGGGAAAAAGAGATATTTCAGTACAGAAGATCGCAGAGTTACGTGCCGAGCATAAGCAGATACGTGCGGCGCTCCCACGACTCGAGAAACTCCTTGCGAACCAGTCGGCAACCGCCACAGCAGCAGCGAATGCAGCAGCGACAGCAGCAGCAGCAGCAGCGGCGACACCGACAATTCTACCTGCGACAACGGCAGCAGCTACAGTTAACCTCGAAGCAGTTAAAGGGAACGACGTTCGTCGATTTGTAGCTGAACTCGAAATTTACTTCGAAGCCGTTGGATGCACGACCCCGACAGAAGACGCAATGCGCATACGGCTCGCAGCAACACTGTTACAAGGCCCAGCTCTAGAGTGGATCAACAACAGAATAGTCCAAGGCGAAGGGACGTGGGCGCAGTTTCGGGCAGCACTGATCGAACAGTTCGACACGTTGAACAGTAGCTACTACGGAACACGACGCAACAAGCCAACTAGTGGCATGGGGCGATTGGCACCACCCACGACTGCTGAACCGATGGAGAACGACGAGGGCGATGTGGAGCAGCGGCTAGCAAAAACTGAGACGTACAAATTTTGCGGCGCTACAGGACATCGTATCTTGGCGTGTTGGGAAATGAAGGGAAGGCGTGCGGAGCTGAGATACAAGAACAGTGCGGCACCCCCGAAGCAGAAAACGGACAACGTGGCAACTTCGGAGAGGGCGAAAAAAGGAGAATATGATGGCGCGAGTTTAAAACGTCACGACCAGCCGGCACCAGGGGAAATCGCCGAGACAAATGGAGACTCCGCGAAACAAGACCCTGCACCGACTGGGAAACTCCAGCCGTACACCCCGACAAGTAAGAATATTACTTCTCGTGGGTTTCAAGCCTTTATTAAGGGAGAGTCAGAAATTAAACCGGTACCGGGTAATATGGGGACCCTACTCCGGAGCGCTAACAAGGGTCGAGCGTTCCGAGGAGTTAATATTCTCTCCCAGCAGCTCTGTTTAAAGGCTCCCTGTTCCCCACAGATGAAGCCTACACAGCTGCAAAGGCCTAGGGGAAGGTTCCAGGCTCAAGAGAAGCTGTACCAGCCTCGGATAAATCCTTCTAACCCTACTCAGGTGATACCTGATATTGAAGCTGCATCTTCGAGCGCAGGACCTAGGGATGACATATTCGACGTACCCTACGATCCTATAAGCGATACCATCTACGGCTACTCGGAGCAGCAACAGCCACTAGTACTCGAGGTGATCTGCAACGGGCGACGCCTCCAGACACTGGTGGACAGTGGTGCGTCCCACTCGGTGTGCGACTGCGGGACGTTGGAGAAAATTGAAGAATCCTCAGAAGAGACCCAGTTTACAGCAACGATGGTGGACGGTACGCAACTTCCCATCCACGGCGAGTCAACACTGCAGCTACAGATAGGAGTGATAAGGTGGAAGCCGGCGTTGCCCCTCACGAACATCAAGGGATTAGATTTCATCTTGGGGCGTGATTTTCTGAAGCAGTTCAACCCCGAGATCGACTGGGTCAACTGGAAGGCGTGTATCTACAACGACGGGAAACGTGTGAAGCTGCGAAGGTGGACGGATACAGGGGATACTCCTCATCAGCAAGCCATGGAGCAGCTACAGACAGCACTGACTACAGCGCCAGTACTCATCCTACCGAATCCGACAGATCCTATTAGAGGAATTTCATGACGTACCTTACGCGGGACATTTCGGGAGCAACAAGACGTTAGCGGGAATAGCAAAGTATTATTACTGGCCCCGGATGGCAACAGACGTGCAGCAGTTTGTCACTTCATGCGACACGTGCCAGCAGATGAAGAGTAGCAAGCAGAAAAAAGTAGGGTTACTTCAGCCTCTACCCGTACCGGAGCAGCCATGGCAAGTTGTCAGCCTAGACTTCATTACTGGGCTTTCTTCGACCTCACGAGGGCATGACGCTATACTCGTGGTGATCGATAAGTTCTCTAAAATGGGACACTTCATCCCGACCAACGCCACGGCTACTGCTGAAGCAACTGCTCGCCTCTTCTTCGACCGCATCATCACCATCCACGGCATCCCCGCTACACTTATCTCTAACAGAGACCCTAAGTTCACTAGTAAGTTCTGGAGGGAACTCATGGGACTGTTGGGGACTAAGCTTGCGATGTCTTCAGCATACCACCCCCAGACTGACGGACAGACGGAGCGACTCAATGAGGTGGTTGCGCAGTTACTGCGCACAGCTTGCAAAGACGACATCAGCCACTGGGATTCACAGTTACCGACACTTGAGTTCGCTTACCATAACACGTCGCATGCGGCCACAGGGAAATCTCCATTCTTCCTGTGCTACGGACGGGAACCACTTACACCACAACAGCCAACCACACCGGCACACGTCCAGGCCGCACACGACTTCGTCACCACCATGCAGCAGTTATGGGAGAAGACTCAGCGACGTCTTTCCACGATGCAGAACTCCCAGAAGCAGTATGCCGATCGCCAGCGACGTGATCACTCAGTAGCAGTCGGAGATCAGGTGCTTCTTGACACGCACAACTTGAACCTGTCTCACCTACCGTCCAAGCTCCGGCCTCGCTTCTATGGTCCTTTTCGCATTGAGGCACAGGTGACACCAGTAACATTCCGCTTGCGCTTACCTATTACTTGGAAGCTTCATAACGCTTTCCATGTTCAGCTACAAAAGCCCTACAAGGACCCCAACCAACAGTTCCAGGGACGCCAGCTACCGCCACCATCACCTGTTCTCATACAGGATGAACCAGAGTACGAGGTGGAAAAAGTTCTCGCTCATCGACGCAGACGCGGCAATACGCTCGAGTTCCTGATACGCTGGAAGGGATATGACCCATCGGAGGACAGTTGGGTTGCAGAAGCTGATATGGGCAACGCACGCCGTGCTCTCAAGGACTATCTTGTCAAGCAGGGTGTTTCTCACGCCACCCAGCTTTGAGGGGGGGACGTGTGAGAGTACGACGGCTTATGCTGGCTTTGCTAGCTTGCCTGGACTTTATTATGTTATTACTAGCTTAGCTTTATTTTATCTTGCATGCTTTTGCTTGATTTCCTAGATTCGTTGCCTTTACTATAGTTATTATAGTTGTAGGCACCGAACTAGGTTGAGTGCACCGAATTCTAGGCTTTTCGGTTGCCACCGAATTGCCTTCTACCGAATTCGGGAAGGACCCGTTCGGGACGCTTCGCGACCCGCGGAACCTTCTAGTAACACCCGGGTTACTGCCTTTGTGTCGAGCCTATATATAGCC